AGCCCAGGCCCTTGCTGGGGGCTGGAACCCTCCCCCTCCCCCTCCCCCTCGCCGTCCCCCTGGAGTGGGCTCTGAATCTAGGCCTCCCCTCTGCTTAGGGGACTGGGCCTGGACCTTCCTCGCTGTGTCGCAGGGGCCCCGCAGCCTGTCCCTGGCCAGCTTTCCTTTCCTGGCCTGCAGGGTTCTGACTCTGCTTCTTCCCCGCTACCTGATTATTCAGCCTCGTCCTGCAGGGAGAGACTGAGCCTCCAGCTTTAGCTTTAACCGTGTCGAGCCCGTGTGGGAGACTCGTGAACTGTATTTGGGGGGCTGAGAGCAGGTGTCATTTCTGGGGTTCACTGAATGTGTCCACCTTGGGCCCTTCATCGGGGCTCTTGCTCGCGCATTCATGCCAGTCTAGAGAAATACCTTGGCTGCATTTTAATTAAAACATACCTATGTTTTGGAAGAGGGGGGAGGTTGAAGTTGCCTCAAAGCTATTTTTAATTCAGAGTTGTAAAGTGCAAGGGGGCTGAGATTAGTTCTAAATGGCACTTCTTGAACTTAAACGGTACATTTTTCTCAGTCTCTCAGCAAATCTACAGAGCCAGTTTCCCAAGTGCTGCTGGGCCTGAGTGGTGAATAGAAGTGGGAAAGGTGAGTGCTTCTAAAACTTCCTTGTGTTTGGTCTAATCTATTTCAGCAACTTTTTGTGTTGTTTTTATTTTGGGACCAGTGAGTAAAATATTTGGGGTTTGTTGCTCTAAGATGAGCGATTAGATATGTCTGGTCTAGTAAGCTGGTGTTCACTTGCTTGAATCAGTGTTCTTTAGTAGTTAAAGCAGTAGAAAACACAAGAATTGCCATACTGGGGGTCAGGCTAGTGCAGTGCCCTGTTTCCAGCATTACCTGTAATAGATAGTTGGTGTAAGAAACCCTGTAATGGGCAATGTGGAAGAAGATTCCATTGAGTAGCTTATGCTATAAACCCAGCAGTTTGGCTCATGTGCTTCAGTAACAGGGCTTATATCTTTCCTCTTCTTATCCTATGTAGTGTAACTGGATGTTCTCATTATCCATGTAAATGCTTAATCCTTTCATAATCCTACTAAACTTTCATCCTCCGTGATTTCCTGTGGCAATGAGTTCCAATGTCAGTCATGCTGTTTTGTAAGTGTGTGTTGGGCCTACAGTGGGTTGCTGTGCTTTTATCTAAATTGGATGTCCGCTTCTTGTAATGACTCCAGAAATGGGAAATAGGAGCACCTGATCTATGCTGTTTCTTAGTTGCTCCATCCCACACTGGCCTCGGCCATGCTCCCAACCCCTATCCCATAGTCTGGGGTGGTTCTAGAGCATGTCTCCTCTTGGTTGAGGGAAGATAAATAAGGATTGTCAACATTATAAATCGTATTGCTTCATTTAAATATACTGGTACTATAAAGTAGGTACAATCACCCTCTGCCTCCAGATGGGCACAGTTATAAGCAGGGCTCGACAAATAATGCAATCTACTCGCCTGTGGCGAGTAGATTGCAACCCGGAAGAGCCGGGTTTGGGCAATCTGCACATGCACAGAATGATCTGCACATGCTCAGATCGCCGGACAGTGCGGCTGGCGAGCAGAGCTCGCTGCGGTTCGGTGAGCCCTGGTTATAAGTATTTTAATTGATCTACCAGGGTAACTAGGGGTAACTACCGGGGAATAATAACTATGCCAGTAGAACTGTATTTATGATGGATCCTTTACCTGAATCACTTGATCCCATCTCTAAGTGACATAATTATGCTATAGATTGGACCTTCCTGGTCTGGCACCCTCAGGACCTTCCTGGTCCCAGATGAGGGATTTTGCTGGACCAAGAGAGGTCATATCTGATGACCCCCCCCCCCTTGCTACCGGCCCTGCCAGTTTTGGCCTGGTCTCCTGGCCGACTTCCCCCATGCTACTGGCCTCGCTGCCCTGCTGGTTCCCCCCCCTGGTCCCTTCCTTGCTGCGCTGTGCTCCTGGCCCTGCTGCAGTGCACTGGGCTGCATCCCAGATGAGGGATTTTGCTGGACCAAGAGAGGTCATATCTGATGACCCCCCCCCCTTGCTACCGGCCCTGCCAGTTTTGGCCTGGTCTCCTGGCCGACTTCCCCCATGCTACTGGCCTCGCTGCCCTGCTGGTTCCCCCCCCCTGGTCCCTTCCTTGCTGCGCTGTGCTCCTGGCCCTGCTGCAGTGCACTGGGCTGCAGGGCAGCCCTGCTGGGTTGTACCTAGTAGCCTAGTTACAGCAAGTCGGGCAGCCCAGCTGCGGGGAATCCAGCTGCCAGCCCTCCACCAGGAAGGTTCTCTGGTCTTGGAACATCTGTGGTCCTGCTGGACCGTGATATTGCTGGACCAGGGAGTCCTGGTTAATAGAGGTTCAACTTGTAGAAAAGTTTACAAGTACAGATAGTTGAGGTCTGTGAGTCCCAATCTTCATTCTCCTTTCATAATAGAAATCTTTCTATGCCTCTGACTCTCATCATTTACTTTAAACTTCCTCTTCCTGGGAGAAGGTGGCCAGAAATGAGCACAGTAATGCAGGTGAAGGTGTCCCGTTGACTTCTGTATTGGCTTTATAATACTTGCTATCCTGTTTTGTACATAGCACATTGAAGTGTCCAAAATTATACCCAAGTCTCTTTTGTGGGTGGTTAATTAAGTCCTCATCTGCACTTGACAGTTGACCATTCTTTATTTTGGTTATTTTCTTTATTTTTTTTACTGAATAACTACATCCACATGAGTGCTTTAGTGGGTATAACAATGATGCATACTGGTATAGTTGTACCATCAGTTGTGAGAGAACACAGTATACCAAAGCTAAAGTTACGCTACTGAGCCTGTGCCAATGTAGCACCCTAGTGTAGATGCAGTGTACAATGACAGGAGGAGGAGTTCTGGCTTGTGTAGCAACACCACTTCTCGTTAGCTGGGGTGATTAGAAGTGCTCTTTTGTTGGTATAACTTCCCTTATGTTGGGGCTTTTGTCAGCCTCTCTGCGTTGCAAGGGTGTGTTCTGGTTTTGTTTTTTCCCACATTCCTGCCTATACTGATATAAGTTTAAAGTGTAGACCTCATGGGATAAAGCATCTTTTACTCTGACTGCGCTCATGCGAGGGGGTTGAACTTTCATTGTACTGGTACAACTAAAGGGGGGTCAGTGGTGTGTGTGTGTGTGTGTGTGTGTGGACACTCACACTTACTTCTCGGATTAACTCAAGGATTGTTCTTTCCAGTGTCTTGATGCTGAATTTCATCAGCCATCGTGGTGCCCGGTTGTGTGATGTCAGGGCAAATCACTTTTCCTCTTCTGCCAAATGGAGTCAATCTCTCTGCACAGTGTTGGGATGAACCTGAGTGGAGGGGGTCTGGGTTAGGGATATTATAGTTTAACCAATTAATGCGTTATCAGTTAATGGTACCAGTTACACTCACAGCTGGATCCCGGGGAGGTGGTTTTCTGTGGCAGGGGGACTCTCTCTCTACACAAGTGCTTCCAAATTGTAAGCTCTTCGTGTCTGTCTCTGGGTTGAATGCCTTGGATATGGCTGTGCCACTGTGCTTCAGATCTAGCACGTTGTGCAGAAATTAAAAGGTATCTCATGGTGGCCTTATGAGAGTTTTTAACCCATTACATAAAGGTTTCCTTTAGAGATATTTCTCTCCCATCCCCAGATATTTAAGGAAAAGAGTAACCAAGAAATGATATTTGCCTAGTAGTAGTGCAAACGGTCCTCAGTTGTAGATGAAGGACCCATTGTGCTAGGTGCTGGACAAACTTATCAAAAGCTGATTTCTGTCTTGAAGTGCTGACAAGCTTAAGTAATGTTTGTTACTGATGTGCACCTAATCAGCACAATAACCGATTTCCAGTCTCCTCAGGCTTTTGGTAAAGTCTTGTCACTTACCTGCGATCAGACTGGATTGGGAAAGCTCAACTAAGAGCAGTCGCCTCTAGTTGAGAAGCAAAGTCCCTTTGAGTTTATTGAATTGTTTTCTTTTATATGTATCAGAGGCAGCATTTGTCCAGGGGAAGAGTCTCCAAACTGGTGGTAATAAGCAGGGCCCTACCAAATTCATGGTACATTTTGGTTAATTTCACAAATTGCATAATTTCAGCTATTAAAATTTGAGATTTCATGATGTTGTCATTTGGGGAGTCCTGACCCAAAAGGAGTTGTAGGAGGGTGGGAAGTTGCAGTGCTGCTACCCTTACTTCTGTGCTGCTGCTGGTAGTAGCACTGCTATCAAAGGTGGGCAGTTAAAGGGAGGCAGCTGCTGACTAGGAGCATGATATGGTATTGTTGCCCCAACTTCTGTTCTGCTGCCTTCAGAGCTCGACCCACGATCAGCAGCCATCACTCTTTGAACACCCACCTCTGCAGGTAATGCAGATGTTAAGGATGGTCACCCATAAGTATCCTGCCGATCCTTCTGGGTCAGAGTGCCTCCATTTGAGAGAGACTGGTCTTCCCCTGTGAAATATGTATAGTATAGGGTAAAAGCATCTGAGAGCAGATTTCACAGTCCATGATGTTTGTTTTCATGGCTGTGAATCTGGTAGTCATAGGATATTGGATGTTGTAACTTACTGCACTCAGGAAGAGGGAGAAAGTTACAACGCAGTAAAGTGACAGTGTAGAAATCTGCCACTGACTTGCTCTGCCCTTTGGCAAGTCACTCCCCCTCTCTGTGTCTCTCCTTTCCCATCTTACAGATGGGTGTAATGATACTCATCTCTGACTGTAACAGATCTGAGATTGGGAGGTGCCATGGAAGTGCTGTGACTTTTAAAGCTAAAAGGATTATCTAAGCATCTAACATACTGTATTCCATGGATTCTGTTTACTTTACTTTAGTTTCATTGCCTACCCAGAGCAGTACTAAGTCTGGTCAATTTCACTGTCAGGTTCTCATGCTCTAAGACAATGTAAATCCCTGTCACTCCAAGGCAAGGCTTAAGACCAATCAAAATATTTTCATGGAAATAAAATCACACAACTATAAGCTGACATCCCCATTTCTCTCTTATTCCTGAATTGTTTTTGTAACATGGAGGGGCAGTGTTGGTGTATGAGCTGTCGCTGGAAGGATTTGAGATCCAGTTTGAACAGTAGTTATCTTGCTAGAATGCCATTAGTTGCTGTGCTGCCTGGCAGAGGAGCTATACCCTGGAAAGGAGTCGTGATGATGGAGATGGGGATTTCTGTCTTGTGGCTTTCATCCTGTAGTGTTGAGTTTTGCATATTGCACACCTCTGAAATGTAACTCGGTGCTCAGTAGTCGTTTGGAAGGTGCAGCTATTTCCTGCGAATCAGAATGCTGCCTTTTTCGGATGTACTCCTAAACTGGCATGTTGGGATGAAAGGGCTGTGTGAAATCAACAGTTTCCCTCACTCTTAAAGGAAAACTGTTTTGCCATGGAGTTGCAATGTATTAGTCAGGTTGGTATACTTCAGTACTTAGGAGAAAAACCTGCTTAAATATAGGAGGTTTGAGCGTACAAGTACACTCAGGCCACGTTGTATGCAGCCATACAGGATTGTGTTCACAGCCGGGATCTGTCTGCAAAGACCCCTGGGACTCTCTGTCTGGTAAAGCACACTGAAATCAGGATGATTTTGAA